TTCGCTCCTCTTGCACCATTATCGAAAAAACACGGTTCAAAGACGGCAAGGGTTCCTGTGCAAGAATATGAGAACGAGGAACACCATAAAGTACGTGATCGAGTCCCTTCAAAAATTGATGAACGCGTTCCTCTTGTTGTCGTCGGTCCCATTCAACGTTCAAATTACACCGACAATGGCCACAACGACACATGGGAGGCTTTTCAAACTCAGCCAATTCCTCCCATATTTTGCTAATTTTGCCATAGTAGCTCTCGATGGATAACCCCTTTTGCTTACAATTGGCCAAATCTGACTTAAGTTGTTGAATACGTGGGCCGTTCGTGGTAGTAAACCGCTCCTTCAAAGACAACCATAGGTCCTCGGCAAGATCTGGCTCCGTGATAGTGGATCGAACTCGAGGCTCAATTGAGTTCATGATCCAAGAACGAAGAAGACAATTGTTGGCATCCCAATCTTCAAATAACTCTGAATCTTCATCTGGACGAGGTATAGATCCGTTTAAAAAACCAAATTTCTTACGAGCACGAAGTGAAGTCCGTACGCTTCGCGACCATTCATCATAATTATGAGCACCATTTAACTCAACCGGAGTGATCGACATGCCCGGATTATCGCTAACACCAATATCATATGGAGATATGGTCTTGTGAACCACAGTACCTGTTCCGCTGCCACTTCCACTCTCGTGTTCACCGGCCATAAGGACTTTAATTATAGCAAAGAAGAGATGAAATTTGATGTTGCTGTAGGCCTTTGGGTACCTGTTTGCGTGGATTTTTTTTTTTTTTTATTTTTTTTTTTGTGCGGCTATCAAAAAGTGCCTATGGGTATAAATTCCCACAAGAGAAAATTGCTGGCGCAAGCAATATGAGAGAATTAATGGATTTTTTTTTTTCGATCAAATTGGGCGAGCAGTACAGAAGAAAATTTTTTTTAACCTTGCTCTTGATACCATGACAAAGTAGGAGAAAAGAACACGATAATAAAATCGGTCATCTAATCTGATGCCGAGATAGAGCCGCCACTTATAATATATACACCAAAGATTAGGGTTGGTTTACAAGGAATAACTTCTCTACCAAGAAACTAAGGCTAAATAAGTAAATACACAAAAAAACATAACATATCATGTACACTAACAAATACTTTTATTAGATTTGGATATTAGTTTGTTTTTAAGATTTGAAAATTGATGTCTATGCAGTTGAACAATGGTTAGTGGAACATGATTAGGCAATCTTTTTTTTTAAGTTCATTTTCACTTTAGATCGACAAATTAGTTTTAGTGCTCTGGACACTTGTTAGTGGACCGACACAAGTCATCATCTGGACTTATGGCCCATATAAGTTGGACTATGCTTCTAGGCTCAAAATAAAATATAAATCCAATAAAAGCAGACCATATTAAATCATGTATAACATGAGTTAAGTAATTTTGATGAACTCCAATAAAAAAAAATAGAAATATTACAACAATCAAATTGAAATTATTGATAATTATGCAAGAAAAAAAAAAAAAGAAAAAAACAATAAAAATGTGTTTTATAATGTTATCTTTTTTGTTTTAGATATCCACATTCGTGTTCTTACTTTTTTAGGTAGAAACGTAGAGTGCTAGTTGACGAGATCAACTAAAACTTTATGTCGAGCATATTCTTACCAAATATAAAGATGTCGAGTCAATGACTTCTAGATCTAGTTGACGAGATCAACTAAATACTTTATGTCGAACAAATTCTTACCAGAAACATCGATTTGATTAAATATATTATCATTTATGGTTGTATGTATTAATTTAATTAATTATATTCACTATTCAAAAGTACTTAAAATGTAGTCAACTTAACTATGTTTAAATCATAATAATTTAATAAATAATTTAAAATATTAATAAAATTTCTTAAAATATAGTCAATTTAACTATAAAAAAGTATATCCCAATGAATATATCATATGCAGTGATAATACTATTGAAATTTAAATAATATACTAATAAAAATAAAATTAGATGGTCGGATGCAATTCAGAACTATAAATTTCACTAAAAGTATCTATGTACATTTTTCTTATTTACTATTTTATTAATGAAAAATAAGTTAATAAAAATGCAATGTATAATAATTTAAATTATAACACATGATAATGATGGAAATATATAATATATCTATATATTCGAATAGATACTATGTAACTCATTATATAAGTTGAAAAAATGAAATAAATAAATAAATATAAATAAATAAAAACATAAAAATAAAACATTTAACCACAAAAAATTTTGTGTTACATAAGGATTAAAGTTACTAAAAATTAAATTTTTTTATCAAAGTTTTTAACATTTAATGCACTTAATAATTATAGCGAAAGATAAATATCATGAATTAAACGTAGGTCAATTATCAATCAATGTGCAACTCTTGAATTGTTAAAAAAAAAAATACGATTATGATAAACGACAACTTTATAAGTACATACAAGTAATTTGTATACAAATATCATATGATCTTATACATTTATAATATTTTCAAAAACTTATATATAATAAAATTTATATATTAAATAGTCAAAAACTACAAAAAAGAAATTTATAAAAAATAGAAATTAACAATGATAGTAAATAAATAAATGTCCTATTATTACTAAATAGAATATTGTGAAAAAAAAATAATTTCATGTTGTCTTAAATAATTTTATAATATTTAAATAAAAAATATTTCTTGTCTTGCATCCCGTGCATCGGACAGGTATCAACACTAGTCAATTGAAAAACATGTAAGAAAACAATACCGGAGCATAGTTTTCATGTATAGCAAGTGAAATATATATGTGGAAAAAAAATAGATATCGAAATTGACAGCTGTGGGATTTGAACCCACGCCCTTTCGGACCAGAGCCTAAATCTGGCGCCTTAGACCACTCGGCCAAACTGTCCTGATGACTAATCATTTACATTAACTGCTATTTATTTTTAAATAATATGGTTATTTTCATTAGCAAATTTGACCATTTTGTACAATACGTTTGGTCATTCAGTCAAACTCAAACTTGAAATGTGCTACAAATTACTGACGATATTTTTGATTTGCAAATTTGACCATTTTTGTACAATCTACCAGTAAGCAAACAACCCATGTAAACCCATTATCAATGGCCATTTTAAACACATTGTTAGATAACCAAAACATGACCAAACATTACATAACATTAATTATTATTAACCAGAGAAGCCCATTGAAGAATATGATATATAATTGAGAGAAAATGGAGAAAAACAATTAATAGAAACAACCAATGAATAATAAACACTTGAGTTTAGTAGTGTTGTTTTTGTGTTTAGGTTATGTGGTTCGTTTTGTTTGTGTTTTTCTTCTTCTCTAATTTGGGAGCTTTTAGTTTATTCTCCTTTCGAGATTTTGTTTTAGTTGTGTTGTGTATTGTAAATTGACATTAAGTTCGTCGTGAATATAAGTACTTCATATCGTTTCGTTAAAAAAAGAAAATGAATAACAACAGGCAAGTCAGAATATCAATAAGCATTAATTTTGTAGCTCATATTAAGGCCTCTCGGCCACTTCGCAAAACATCAAGATTTCATCATCCTTGCCATTAAAAATTCACCAAAACTAACTAATATTATAACACAAATATTTTATGAAAAATATATATATATATATATATATATATAAATTGTCGCCCATTTTTTAAATTCAGAGACAATCAACAGCAATTGTTATTACCATAAAACGGATAATTAATTACCCACAAAATAATAATAATAAATCAAGATTGTCCCTAAAATTGTTCCTAAAAATCGGGCTAAAAATCGGGGATAAATCTCAGAAGGAAAACCCTAATGAGAAACCCACGAAACACGCACTCAAATCGCACGCACATATACATACAGAATGTTCTGTATGTATGTATCGAGCAACTCTGTGTGTGTACAGTTTAATGTAGCGTGGCTATGACTCAAAACGCTTCCATTGATGCTTTTTGGAAGGCGATCTTAAGGGCCGCGCCATTAAATCATGCTTTCTGCACAGCAATATCCAAACGTTTTAAAACAAAAAAAAAAAAAATGAACAAAAAATAAATAAAATGAAATTTTTGTGATTAATCAGATAGAAAAAAGCCCAATCGACAAGTTTATGTTTCAGAAAAAAATAAAATAAAAAAAAAAATAAACGAAATGAGATTTTTATTTCTGGGGAAAATTGAATTTATTTGATGATTTCAACTTTCTGGGGGATAAAAATTGAAATTTTGGGGAATGATAAGATGGAGAAACCCTAGCAAAAAGAGCTGGTGAAGATGATGGGTAAAGGAAGTGTGGGTATATATATGGTTCAATTTAGGTTAGTTGTTAATTTTGGGCTGGGTGTTGGCCCATTGATCTCCTTTTGCGAGAAGTAGGCCCAATTTGTTTGGTTAACTCAACGCGGAGTAGGTAGGGATGAAAACGATCGGCATAGGGCTCAACCATTTCCACTTTCATATTTTTTTCTCGAAAACGAATATGATACGATAATGTCGGAAACGAAAACGATATCGGTATTCCGGTAATATCGAAAACGAAACTATCCGGTCGAAAATACATCGATAACGATCGAAATATATTAAAACGGTATTTAAAAAACGATAAACACACCACATTATAAAATATAGCATTAAAACATTAATTGAAATATTCTCATGGCATAATAGTAGCAAAATCCAAATTAAAATCCACACCATTTGCTATAACAAAATCCATACAAATTCCAATAACTAGCAATTGAATTGTGACTTGTCCACCAAATTCTCATGGAATAATAGTAGCAATTGAAATTTGAAATATGAAATGAGAGCAATTAGGTGAGAAATCAACCATAGAACCACCAAATCCACAAAAAAACCACAACAAACGAAACCCAGAATTCAAAACACAAATCACTAAAACAATGATGGGAGTTAAACGTAATATATAAACTTGTCCTTCACAGCAAGTTGTCGTCTGCCTACAACTGAATCTCAGGCAAATCATCATTATCAATTGCCACATCGTCATCACGTCCCATTTCTGAGAATTCATCCTACAATTTGTAATGGAAAAATAATTTAACACTCATACAAATATTCCACGAAAAGAATAATAAAAAGGCCTGAAAAGAATTGAAATCATTATCTTCACACTAGAACTATATGAAAAGAGATGATGCAATATTTGTAAATTGTAAAATAAATTCAAATCATAATTTCTCTAACTCATATCTTCATTTTCCTTACGTGCAAAATATTTACTTGACTCTTCATTCTTGTGAAATATTGAAACAACACTGAAATTTGTCAGCATATTCTATTATTATTGACAACATATTTAAAATTATTAATATTGCAACTCAAGAAAGAAAGAAGGAACCTCAAACATTAGATTATTCTTAATGGCTTCAAGAACATCAAGGTCACCAGGCAGCGAAGAAACATTCTTAGAACCTGAAAATAAAAAAATTTAAAACCAAGTGCTTAGTGAATATAACTTTGTAATCTAAAACCAACAATCAATTTGAAATTTTACCTTTTCTAGTAGCTATTATCCAGTCCTTAGTGCAAACAAGAGCTTGTACCATGTCAGGATCAAGCCGGCTGCGATATGGATCAATGACACGACCACCAGCACTAAATGCAGATTCAGATGCAACGGTTGAAACTTGAATTGTCAACACATCACGAGTAAGTCGGGACAGGACAGGATACTCTTCCTTATGAGATTTCCACCATGCTAAAATGTCAAACATGTTCTGGTTGGCTTTAGTGGTCTTCAATGGTGGTTCTGCTAAGTACCTTTCCAATTCACTGAACTCTCCATCAGCATCATATGAGTCACTTTCAAATAGGTAGTTATCAAGCTCATCATCTATGTTGTTGCTTCCCATAAATAGATCTGCCAATGGTTCTTCAACTTCTTTATTGCTCTTTGAAGAAGAAGGTGCAACAGAAACATAGCATTGAAACATCTTCCTTATGATACCATTGAATTTTTCAAGTTCAGCTTGGTAGGAATTATTATAGAACTTTCGCAAGTAAAATTCTACAATTCTTCTCTTGAACCTAGGATCAAGAACGTTTGCTACAGCAATTGCAATATTAGACTTCTTCCAGTACTTATCAAACTTGACACTCATAGCATTTGCCATTCCACAAATAGTGGTATCCTTACTAATGCACCAATCAGCTAGCAATATCTTAATCTCACAAAAGCCTCTAAAAAATAGGTTCGCCGTTGGATAGGTAGTACCAGAGAATATCTCAGTAAGCTCAAAGAATTTTTTCAAGAAGGGAATCAAAATTTGTGCCTTATCTCATTCATGATATGAAGGAGCAATACTACCATACCTGTGGCGGTCAATGGAAGTCAGCCTCGCAAAAGCAGTCCTATAATATAGAGCATCCCTCAACATTAGATATGTTGAATTCCACCTTGTAGAAACATCAAGTGACAGAGAAGGCTTTGTGTCTAACCCACATTCAATAGCACACTTTTGGAACTCCTCCCACTGTATTGTAGACCCCTTAACAGCAAGTACAAATGCCCTAATCTTTTCAGTTGCATCAGAAATCACACGCATACCATCTCTAACAACCAAATTCATGATGTGATTAGCACATCTCACATGAAAAAATAGCCCATCACATACTAAATTGCTATGCTTCTTGAGCTCTATAATTAGATCCTTAACAGCAACCTCATTTGCAGAAGCATTATCCAAAGTCAAAGAGAACATCTTTTTCTCAACATACCATTTTAAAAGACAAGAACTAACCGTATAAGACAACCTCTCACCGGTGTGTCGCCCTTCAACATGGAGGAAATTGATAATCCTCTTCTGAATTTTCCAATCATCATCAACCCAATGAAGGGTGACACACATATAACCCTTATTCTGGTTGGATGTCCACATATCCATCGTTGCACTAAACCGGCTTTGAATGGTTTTGAAGTATTCATACAACTTATCTCTTTCAGCCGAATAACACTCCATGATTTCCTTTCTAACAGTGACACGAGACTTGAGAGGATAATTTGGACGCATGGATTTGACCCATTCTTGAACAAACTCATGCTCAACCATGTTGAAAGGATACTCATGAACAATCATTGCCTCATAGAACTTCCTCAAGCTAGCTTCTTGATCATATTTATAGGATTGGACTGTTGCAATGCCTGTCTCATTATTTTTTTTTTTGTTGTGAGCTGCTGCTGTCCTTTCTTTATACTGTGGTAATTAGCAAGATGTGTCCAAAAAGCAGTTGTTCCAAAATTGCTCTCAGCTCTATGCTTGCTAGTCTTGTTTTTACACCCTTTGAAATTGCACTTTGCCCAACATTGTTGTTCCTGCTTGCCATTTACCTCCACTGTCGCCCAATACTTAGTGAAGTATTGCCACACTTCAGATGTGGTTTTCTTTGCCTTCTTGGTAACAGGTTGTTGCTCAACATCACTGTCCACATTGATGGCATCATGACTCTCATGTGTGCCACCACCATCGGCTGCTTCACTTGGCACTAAACTTCCCTCAGATGAAGGTATCGATGTTGAAGCAGGTGCTGGCGAGGAAGCAGACACACTATAACTTTGATTTGCGACACTTGAAGGCAACATCATTTTGTTACGAGTACCTATCAAATATCAATCAAAATATTAAAGAAAGAACTAAATTGTAAAAGAACTCCCAAATTAAAACAAATAAACTCATAAACAATGTACAATACTAAATAGCACAAGTTAATATTTTTCTTAGAACCTTAAATTTTTAATAGCTTATGTTCTGCTTCTACTTCATAAACCTAAATTATTGTGCTGATTCTTCACATATTTTCTTAAAAACAACAATGAGAGAAATAGATTTTATAAAGAAATTCAATGAATCAAACAGATTTCCTAAAAACAGCAGCAATTCCTAAAGCCGATTTTATTGTTGTTTTTAAAAACATCAGCAATTCCTTCACATATTTCCTAAAAACAGCAGCAATTCAATGAATCAAACAGATTTCATTGTCTCTCGGGAAACTCAATGATTTTATAAAGAAATAGATTCACAAACAAAATTGCATCAAATTTTCATTGTTGTAATTAGCTCCCGACTTATCAATTGTTTTTTTTTTTTTTTGCACGAGACTTTGGACCCTATACACGTACAAGGATCGGTTAAGCCTGACTATTAAGAGACCTAGGAAGTGCATTCAGATTCCACCAGGAAAAATGTTTAATCAGAACATGTCACAAGTCAAAGAAGAACTGAAGTTGTGAACAAAAATTGGAAACTCTAAAGAACAATTGTCCAACAATATCAGAATCGTGTAATCTATGTAAAGCAAACCCAAGGGTGAACTTGTGAATGACCTGCGGTAACAAATAATTTACATCTGCTGCTACTTATTCACTATTACACTGCACATAAAACAAGAAACCAGGGCATCAATTTCAATAGAATACTATTCAAACTTCTCAACAAGCAGATATTCTAGAAATTCAGGTTACATTTTTTTTTTTCTGTCTAGATATTCTCAACAAGCAGATATTCTAGATATTCTCAACAAGCTGATACTGGGAGTGTGGATTCTATGCAAATCGGTATCTATCCACAGACAGATTCATCAAAATCGAGCCCTACAGAACACAAATCAAACGAATCTTACCGGAGTCTTTCGCCGATTTCTGAGCTCCGGTGACAAGACCAGGATGTCCAGGTTTTTCTGGTGGCTCCATAACTATTGGAGTGAAATCAAAGTGGGGTGCGACGGCGACGAGCAAGTGACGGGAGTGGCTATGGCGATGACGAGCAGACGGGAGAGAGAGAGAGACGACCGAGAGTGAAGAGTGAAGACCGAAGGGTTATTTGGCCCAGTAGAACAAGAAGAGGGACGACCGAAATCAAGAGTGAAGGGAATTATTTGGCCCATTTGAGATTTGTATTGGGCTTTAAATTAAAAGTGAGCCTAGTATGGGTTGGGCCGGTATTACCGACGGTAAAATACCGTTTAAATACGGTAATTTTCGAAAACGATCGGAAAAAGGGCTAAACCATTTTCGTTTTCATTTTCGAATTTTTTTACCGTTTCCATTTCCGTTTTTCCGGTTACCGCTTCCGTTTCCGTTTAGCCTCCAAATCCGAAAAAATTTCGAAAACGATTCCCGGTAATCGGAAATTACCGTTTCCGTTTTCATCCCTAGGAGTAGGAAATGGAAAGCCCAGAGTTGGACGGTTGAAGAAGCAATCGATATGTTTGGTAAAATTAGCAGATAAACTAGTTAATAACTATAGCTTATCAGTAATTTTTTAACTTACAACTTATAGATTATGACCTATAGTTGAAAAGTTAGCTTATATGATAAAAGTAGAGGTGGTATCGGTTCGGTTACCGAACCGATAAGCGTATACCGATACCATACCGATAATTTCGGTATCCTCGGAATGCAAAACCGATATCGAACCTATTAAAGTCGGTTACCGAAAATTCGGTAACCGAAAACTCGGTTCGGTTTCGGTTCATTATCGGTTTTATACCGAAAAAATCGAACCGATTTTGCGCACAAAAAAAAAAAATACTAGTGTTTACTTTACTCGCCATTTTTGTAATTTTTTCACTTCTAACCAATTAAATACACACAAAAGACTCGCAAATCCATTGAAGGATTAAAAAGTTTAAATTTAATATATGTGGTAAACACAACTAATAAAGCAATATAATGCTAACATGCAAAAAATAAAATTTGTGATACAACTTCAACTAACTTATCTAGTAATGGTGGTAAGAGAATATACTACAGTAACGGTAGCATCTTTTTTAGAAGGAGTGAGACTGGTAAACCGACGATGTTCTGATTAGAAGGTGAATGAAGTGATTAGTAGTGGTATTTTTCTCGTCATTTTGAGATTTAAGTAGGGTTGAGCCCTTATTTCAATTTTTAAACACTAAACAACTAATTCTTGTTTTAATATTTAAAAAAAAAAAATTGTTTTAATTTTTTTTACCCTTATCGGTTCGGTATCGTTTTTACCGAACTCTTATGGACTCAAACCGATACCGTACCGATAGTGATTCGGTAACCGATAGTCGGTTACCGTTACAAGCGGTTCGGTACGGTTCGGTTTATTTTATCGTCGGTTCGGTTTTCGGTTAAAAAATGCCAGGCCTAGATAAAAGTGAATGGTAAAATTAACTGATAAGCTAGTTGAAATATTAAAATCAACTTGTTTATTTGAAAAATTAGCTAAGGAAGCTTATCAAATAAGGTCGAACTTTTTAAAAAAGTTCGTCCTACCAAACGAGACTTATTTGAATACAGTGAGCTTATAAGCTAACCAAATAAGCTATGAGCTAATTTATTTGTCTACCAAACATAGCCGAAAGGACAACGAAAGATCCACCTCTCTTCAAGTCTCTTTTTGAAATCAGACAAGGCTTGGTTGAAAAAGCGAGAAGTGAACGAGGAGCGGAAGCCCTTCGGTTGGAGCTCTCGAGACAAACAAGATGGATCTAGTAAGTGCTACGACTTCCTAAGACTTAGAGAACCCACGAGGCCATGGACCGGGGTTGTTTGGGGGGCTAATACCTCCAAGCACTCATTCATCCTATTGTTGGAAGTGCTTAATAGATTCCGGACAAGAGACCGACTCGAATTTCTTGACGAATACCCGATTTGCCCTCTATGCGGTGTTGCGAATGAATCTTCGAGACACCTCTTCTTTGAGTGCTCCTTTAGCTCAGAGATTTAGGGTGAAGTTCGTGCTTGGGTTAGCCTCCGCCATAGGCCATCGACCTTTAAAGGTGTCCTCAAATGGACCAAGAAGGAGGCGAGAGGTGCGGGTTGGAGATCGAAGTTGAAGAAAGCGGCGCTAGCGGCCACCGTGTACTTCATTTGGAATGCAAGAAACCGGTTGATATTTGAAAATGAATACCAATCCCAAGCCATGTGATCCAGAAGGTAAAAACTCATGTATACCGTACTATCTTGCTCTTTATCCTAATGTGCTTGCCGAGTTAGAGAGGCGGTGCCTCGGCCTATGATATTTGGTTTTCGTGACTTTTGAGTGAACAACTGACATGTGGTTGTCCTCGTATATATTATCGCGTGAATGAGAAACCAATTTGTGGTTGCCCATTGTGTTTTTGTACGCTATTCACCGATTGTCCGAACTCAATTTTGGTCTATATATTTACATTTGGAGATAAAAAAAAAAAAGGACAACCAGGGGAATGATTTATTTATTTATTTATTTTTAATTTTCTTTTTTAAAAAAACCATTTTTAGTAAGCAACTTTTTCACACCACCTAGGTTCTGTAAACCATCAGCCCAGCACAGCTCAGGCCTCAGCTCTGCAACTTCATGCCTCTTTAATGGTGTGAGCTACAAAAACCCTAAACCCTAGCTAGTGAGAAATTTGTGAAGAACTCAATGCGAGCAATCAGGAGGGCCGTTATAATCGGCAACGGTTTTGCCGGTGCTGAAAACCAGTGCATTGGCTTGGTTCGAGCTTTGGGCCTCTCCAACAATTACTCTCGATATGTAAGCAAATGCCCGGTTTAATTGTTCGTTTTAATCGAAAAAATATCGTAGGATGTTGTTTGCTCAATCTGCAGTGGGCTGTTTTTTTTTTCCTGATTTATCTGATGACAATTTTTCATCTTTTTGAGTGTTTTACTGTCTGTAATACAAAATTGCTTGTGTTCATCTTTGAAGTTGATGTGTTTTCATTTTCTTTTGCTGGTCATTTTTGCATTTTTGAAGCGTGTTAGTCGGCCGAGAGGGGGAATGAACGAAAGGCTTCATTGGCTGCCGGTTTCCGTTCACAAACGATTGGATCACGCCCTCAAGTGGATTAATGGAAAGCAAGTAGTACCTTTTCCAGCTCAAGGGGAAGGTGATTTTAACTTGTTTTGCAGATAGTCCTGTATGATAAGTTTGTTTATCGTCATCCTGTAAATTGGTCATCAGCTTATCACCTGATTTGTGTATTAATGTTCTCCGAAATTCTTTTTGTGGCTCGCTAAATGGCTGTTTGTGGCTTCAGATGTTTTAGAGGCTGATGCAAGGAGTATAGCCAAATTGGCTCAAGAGACATTGAAAAGGTGCCTAAAACTTTTTCTGCTTGCAACATGTCATATTTTGTGCTGTTCTGGAACATTGCAGTTTGATGTGAGCTGTGATTATAAGTTAATAAGTACCAATCATGTGAGGATACGTATTTAGGGATGACCCGCTTTTGGTGGTTGCATCGGGTCGTGATACCATTGCTGTTGCAAGTTCTGTTAAGCGGTTGGCTCCCCAAAACGTTTTTCTTGTTCAGGTAGACAAGCACTATCCTTCTACATTTGTTCAATTTACTTCTAAGCAAATTGGAAATGCTTGTCTTTTTATTATAGTTATATTGTTATAATCATCTCACACTTGGACATGCTAATGTGAACAGAAGGAGTTGGATGAAGTATCTTCATTCATATAATGGTGGGAGATATTTCTGCGGGTTTCTTTCCCAATTTGATGTATATCTCTGACTATTTTTTTTTTCTCTTTCCCTTTTTTCATTGCAGATACAACATCCTCGATCTCGTCTGAATAGATTTGATCTCGTGATAACACCTGAACACGATTATTACCCTTTGATGCCAGAGGCACAGGAACAAATCCCATTCTTTCTAAGGAGGTGGGTGACACCTCGGAATCCTCCGGACAAACATGTGGTATGTCCTTTCATCAGTTGTCTGCCAATTTGAGTTTTCATAGATTAAGAGGGCTTTGCCGAGCTTAAATTTTTATGTGTAGGTCCTTACAGTGGGGGCTCTTCACAGGGCTGATTCTGCTGCCTTGAGAAATGCAGCTTTTGCTTGGCATGATGAGATGGCACGGCTGCCTAAGCCCCTTCTTGTCGTGTCTATTGGGGGGCCTACACGTGAGTATTGTACTTAAACCGGGCAAGATGCTCTGTGACCTCTATGTGATATTTCCAGCTTTACACCAGTAAAAAAAATAGAAAAAGGAAATGATCCATGCCCCAACGATAAGTTTGCATTTCTTTTTCGTTATTGATCTTGATAACATTTAAAAATTTTGTAGTTTCATGGTATTGTTTTCTTCAGTATAATTGCTTTTGGATTCGACCTTTCATATCCTTTCATATATATGCTTCTGTGGGTCCTTACACCAAAAGCTCATCGATAGTTTGATTTGCTTGTAAGTTAACTCTTTTCACATGTTAGATAGATTATCTAGACATTCATTATGTTGCTCTCTCTCTCTCTCTCTCTCTCTCTCTCTCTCTCTCTCTCTCTCATAGGGCATTGCGGATATGGTGCAGATCTGGCAATGCAGCTGACAGACTCATTGAAGAGTGTTCTTCAGACATGTGGGAGCCTCAGAATATCATTTTCTCGTCGAACTCCAAAGACTGTTTGTAATTTATCTGATTTTATAGTATGTAATTAATTTGTCAAAGCTAAGTTCTTACCTATACCATGACAAACAGATAATGGACATCCTTACGGATAAATTGTCAGACCATCCTAAAGTCTATATATGGAATGGTGAAGGTAATAAAAGATTATTCTGATTGCTTTTTTCGTACATAATCACTTAAAGAAAGCCGGAAAGATGTTGCAATGGTTCTTTTAGAAGCTGGCTTCAAGTCACTACTGTAGGTAAAATATAATGTTAATGAAATTTCAGGAAACCTTCCAAATCACTCCTTTAGATGTCTTCACTCTATCATGACATTATTCTGTTTTACTGTTTTATGTTTTCATTTTTCTTTTTAGTGCATTAACCGAATATATCTTGTATTCAGATCCAAATCCACACATGGGGCATTTAGCTTGGGCCGATGCTTTCGTCATCACGGCTGATTCAGTAAGCATGTTGAGTGAGGCTTGCAGCACTGGGTATGTACAGTATATCTACAATATATATCAAAATTTTCGTCTCTGTGTGTGTGCATGTGTGTATGTGTTTTTTTTTTTTTTCATTACTTTGCATTACACATTTGGATCTCCCAGGAAGCCTGTATACGTAATTGGTGCTGAGCGGTGCACGTGGAAATTCTCTCATTTTCTCAAGACCCTGCAGAGCAGAGGAGCCATTAGACCATTCACAGGTAAAGAAAAGGTGAGAGTGCCTGCTAAATCTCAACTCTCCTTTTTTACAATTTTTAAATGACTACAAGAGAGGGGACAAAATAAAAACAATCTTCCTCCAGAGTAGAATCTTACTTTAGGGACTATTCTAAATTCTTAACGACTTTTATACGGTATGCAAATTTAATGCTTAAGTTTGGACAAATTTTTATTTATTGTGCTTTTGAATATCCAGATTTCGGATAAATGGCACTATATACCACTGAGTGACACTGAAAATGCAGCCGGTGAAGTGATTAAGGCTCTTGCAGAACGTGGGTGGAAATTGATGCCTCATTGAGTAAACGAATGATTGGTTAGTTAATGCGTGAAGAGGATCTTTTTTTTTTTATTTTTTTTTTCGGATGCATATTAAAAAGGTCCGTGCTTGATTGATCGTCCTTTTTTCATATTCTCAAACGCCTTTCTTAGTCAGATCGAGCCTTGAACTGGAGTGTTGTACTTAAAGGTTCCAATGTGCAAACATCATATATACGAATATAGGCTCGAGCCTCGTTTGGGATTTTTCCTACAAACTGGGAAAACGACTTGTCGTTCTGTATTAAGAGTGTACACACTACTTATAAAATCGACACTGTTGATCGGGATTCACCTTGTGTTGGCTTCGACAAAATGAAATCTAATGTTCTCTCCATTTTTTTCATCCTGTTTTCATGTCCTATTTGTCCTAATGCACAATATGTCCTTGTGCTAAGAACACTTTAAAATGGATAAATAATTTTTTTCAACCTGTACTATACGTGCTTTTGAAATTTTCAACTTAAAGTATTTTTTTTTTTTTTTTGGTAAAATGCAACTCGTTGGTCTCGATGCAAAATAAGTGGTGGGAAAGCAAGTCCCATCTTCACTCCCTTCTGCGTACGCCACACAAATAACGCAAAAGGAAGCGCTTTCGCAGCTGTTCAATCAGAGGAATCTTTCTACTTGAAATCTTAACTCTCGAGCAGGTCTTGGACTGTTCCAACTCAATGCGTCATCCTTTCCCGTATACGATATCGCAAAACTTTCACATTTATTGCTTTAATCGACCCCAAGGGGAGCCATTCGGGCTTTCCTATCTTTCCTATTGAGATTGGATTGGAACCAATGACTTTTTCCGTATGAAAGCGTGCAGGTCAAAGGTGATCCTCAAATCCGGGGAGAATCGAGAGGAACCTAAGCGAGGCCGATAAATTGGTAAACTCCCAAGGTCCCACAACAACTTAATTCCTGAACTAATGGATCTTTGACCGGGGCAGCACAATGGCTAGTGAAGTGAATCGTTCATTCGCCGACTAGAGAGCATGCCACTGGCGAGAGCGAGGCCTCCGCTGGCCTTTCCAGTCGAGTTTTTTCCCTTCTTTTTTGTTTGGCACCACGGTTATAAGCTGAACCGTCATAGATCTTCCTATGAACATATGAACAGAAATTCCTTCCATTCCTTGATTTTTCTTTTCGTCTAGCTTCTTTACGGCCCTACTTCCCGGGCATAGCCCTCTTGCGGTTTGGTCCTTCCTATAGTCATAGTCTCCATATTATCCTCTTCAAGGCAAGGTGAAAGCATGCCAACCTATCGTAGGTCTTAGCTTGTCATACCTACGCTTGTCATCGTCGCTTATCAACCTACGCCTCTTATCTGAGTTCTTGGACTTCTCTTTTGATCTATAACCATAGGAATTCGGGCTTCGCTCTTCGCTTTGGCTGAGCTTACTACGCTTATTTTAGAAAGGCGAGGGGCGGTTCATTCCAAATTAGGGGAAAAGAAACTTCCAAGTTCTGCAATCCCTTGCTTGTTCAGTGAAGTCCTGGTTACATTGAGATTCATGCGACGTGGATCCTTCCATGAGGCCACAAGCATTGATCATATTGTTGAACATGCTACATCTGTTTAGTGAAGGAGCCGAACCACCAAACTTCTCAGCAGCTGATGATATATCATTGAAATCCCCAACCATGACCCTGTGGAAGGGGCAGTTAAAATATCCAGTTTTCGGTCCATACTTCAATTTTCTATTTCTAGAGCCAGAAAGACTTATTGGATTGGTTATGCGCCCACGTATTTCAAGAAGAGCCTTATATATTACTATATTACGTGCGATCGCTCAAGTCAAGGCGATGAAGCAGACTCAAGGCCAAGGGAAATCTCTTTAGAATAGCGGAATTTGACTTTTATTTGAGTAAGAAAACTGCCAAGATAACTCCGGGTACTTTAGAAGAGAAGCGGAGTTCAGGCTTTTGCGAACATTTCGGGAACCTTTGCCGAACAAGAGGCCGCTGAGGGCGAATCGGCAGCCATGAGAGTCATGTCTGCGAAATCAGACAAATATTGGCGAGCAGCAACCGAGAGGGCTCACGGCTTGTCCGATACAAGAAGTCATAGCACTTCGCCGAGCAAAAAAAAAAAACTTATTCAATGAACTTATCCAAAATTGGAATTTTTTTGAGCTACCGACAACTCTTGCTATCCAATCCTGACATAATGTACTCCATACTGAGGGGGATGGCGCTTGGGTAGCCAAGCAATGAAAGGCCCACCAATACTGGCAAGAGCACAAAGGAGGACAATTCACCCAGGAAGGGATCCAGATCCCGATTTCCTAAGACGATTTCCTGAAATACGAGGAGAAGGAGCGGGAGGGAAGAAAGGAAACTCACGAAAGCGAAGTACACGGGTCCAATTGACAACATGGAAATCGGAGATTGGCTTGGTTTCATAAGATTGGGGTTGGGCTCCTGGCTGGCCTATGAGGAAGGCGCTTCTCGCTACAGACTATTCTGGCTACTCAAGAAAGAGCCTTTCTAATAGCTTTCGCAATTTCCATTCTCTTCTCCGAAGGGAATTATGAAAGTCAGATTTGACAGCTATATAAGATTCTCAACTTTATCCAAGTTTTGCCGAGGGAGCAACCCCATTTTTCACCTTGAATTTGTACTCTTTAACACCCGCTTTGAATCCAACAAAAGTTTGAGTCTCGCCTTTCCCTCACGTGTGATCCAACCTAGTAATATGCAATCCGTACAAGGAGAGCAAAGTGAGACTTGGAGAACGAAGCGAAGTGAAGTCTCTGGAAAGGAAGGTGAAATTGACCATTCGCCTTACATCACGATATCTTTTTCTTTTTGATTCTGATTTTTGTTTTCGTTTCATGGATCTTAGGGTTCTTGCCTTTCCGAGCTAGTTGGAAGCTATGCATCGTGAACTGCAGCGTTCATTGAACCCTTTCTTGGGAACCCCTACCCCAATTTATTGTAGAAATTTTCGGATCAATGATTAAACCATGCAAACTAGAAATACTTTTTCTTGGATAAAGGAACAGATTACTCAATTTATTTTCGTATCGCTCGGCAAACGACATCCTTACATGCCCCTTCCCTCGTTTTGGGAGATGAGAGTTCCCTTCATATCATAAAGCTCTTGTCCTACTTATTCGTAATTCACTGTGTCCATGTTTTATCTTCTTTTGCCGATCTTAGAACTAGCGCATTATGTTAGATAGTTCAAGCCTCTGTCCTAGCTCTAGGTCCTCTGTCGCTGCCGGTGAAAGTTCGAACTGATGAATAAACTGCCCTCGTTTTTCAAGACACTGAAAGGGAGTGAATACGGTAGCTAGACACGTGGGCTTTGGCTGTCCTCTTGTTGTTGCTCTTCATCTACGTTATAATCTGTACGGGCAGTCGGATATCAATAATCACTTACCCCGCGTTAGGAGAGTGAGGAGTGAACGGACTCAAATACAGTTGTCAGGAGGAACCTCCGGCTTAGACATTAGGCACATTGAAGGCTGAGCATCGAAGTTTTGGTAACTAGCTCAGAAGTCCAATACGAAGATTCGTCTTCGTGGTAATTGTTACAGAAGAGCTGAAACAAAAGCCATGGCTATTGAGAACGAATTCAACCAGATGGTCCTATTTCTAAATCTTTCTGACTTGCTCCTATGGAACCAAGGTCGAAAAGATTGAAAAAATCAGTCATTCATAACCACTGATGAAGGATTCCTCGACAGTTCCAAGGGTCGACCTTCAGAAAGGAGCTCGGCTCCAATATATCAGCCGTCGAATTCCTAGATTAGAAGGAAGAGGTCCCGCTTCAGATTCACTCTTGAGAGTTCGCCCTGAAGATTGAACGAGACCTTCCTCTCGTTAAGACATGTCGTTCGTACTCCACACATCAACTGAAGCAAGAAATCAAAGGGTCGTTCCCCACCCCGGAGCTACTTTACCATATTCTGAATTCAATGGTTTTAATAAACCCCCTACGGTAGTTCGTAGGCCAATCTTACGAAATCCCTATTGGACCCTACTCCTGACGCATATTCCTACTTCTTCGCGAACTGCCTCTTTCTGCTTTCGGAAGAAAGGCTAAAATAGCATGGACCGGGTTGCATGGACCGGGTTCCATTCGGCTTATGAAATGGATTCCATATATTTTATCCGATCTTCGAAGTATATAAAAGGTTACGGCGCGGAGGCTTCCCTCTAAGGCGGAACGCTCCCCTACCGATGTATTTCTACATCCCACAGCTTCGGCAGATCGCTTAGCCCCGTTCATCTTCGGCGCAAGGGCGCTCGATCAGTGAGCTATAATGGGCACAAGCCCTACTAGCCGTCCCTTCTTCAGGTCCAAAAGAGCGTGATAGCTAGAGGTCGATCAACCCAAAACCATACTCTATCGGAGCAAGACGATGTGGAACCAGAGACCTCGCCCGTGAAGTAAATCGTCGAAGATAGAGCCAAAGGTGATTCTGGATCGGCGCTTGGGGCTTTCAAGGGGAATGCGTACACTGTGTTAGTCAAGGTGAGATAAATGACCTGAGCCGGATTTACCTTTTATGCCATCCCAAGCATCGACTCGTCCTCTAAAGGCATGTCCTAAAGAGAATTCCTTTCTGAGATCCTTGGTATTAAGTAGAAGCTAAACTACAAAGTGCCAGATGACAGCTCGGAAAGGGCAAGGCGATTTACCAGATTTGGACCGATCAAGAGCTAGGAACTCGGGTTATAGATATAGACTGGATTTTTCCAACTCTGAAAGCTAAACCCCTTTGTGTTTACCCATTATTCTGAAGATCTGGATTCCTGACGCGTAACTATCAATGAGTTGGGGAAGTGGTGGAAGAGTTAGCTTCTCCTACTGTCGAAAGAGTCATCAATTAGTCGCGAGCTTACCTTACCGCTTTCCTTTCAATTCATTTTCTTATCTTATTTGCTAAGATCAGCTCTTGACCTGGATGACATTTCTAAATAAAGTAAATAATTTCGATGAATTTTCATTTCATTACTGCGAGAAGAGGGAATCTGACC